GGATTGAAAACCTTGTTTCTTTTATTTCTTGTTGCCATGAATACTGACTATGTATGTGTCTGGGTAAAGGCTGTGAAACAAAACCTATTTCTGTTCCTTTACCCAGTTAGCTTCATTTGACCTGCTTCAACTTCCTCTCTTCGGTAAATATGAAATAAAATCGAGTTATATTTGAAGAGATTTTACTGCAGAGGTTATAGAGCTTACCTCTCATGGTCTGCATGCACTAAATCAGTCCACATGCCACTGTAGAACTTAAGTCTTGTGGTCAACGTGAACCAGCAATGATTTCTACTTCTCTTCGCATGCAGCTGTCTGGCACGAACCAAGATTTGGTAAAGAAAAGTTTTGTGTTGTTTGGTTTTTGATTTATGTAAGTTTATTTGTGCAAATATTTAAAAATTTTCTAAATTTAACAAATATTTGATTAGAAATTCAGATAAAATAAGTATGTTCCGATATGCAAATTTTTACAATCATTTTAGAATCAATGAGTTTTGGAAGGTACAAAAAGGACCTTGTAAAAAAACACTTGTGTGTGTTTTCTTTAGGTGCACTGATGAAAAGCATCAAACCAGCTTGAGACTGTAGTTGCTACATTCTGTAGATGAATCTTCTTGAACTACAGTACACAGTGTATAGGGTGATATAAAATAGCCATGCTTGAAATTTAACTTCTTAAAAATATCTTTATCAAGTTTATGTCAAAATAAGTGTTTTAGATATCCAAACTATTTTTGCCTTCTTACCTATAGTGTTAGCTCCCAATTAATTAAGAAGAAAAAAATTAGTCTGTGCTATGATTTTCATTCAGTTCTCCTGAACTGCAGAAGCCACCTGATTTTTCGCTTTTTCAAAAAGCATGATTCTACTATACATTAAAAACATAGCCATTCAATGTTTAGTATCACAAAATTAACACCCACAAGAAGACAATTACTGCCACTAAACAGTATTTGAGACAATTCTTTAAAATATTTACAGTTCACAACAGGAATATCTATCTGATTAAGCATTCCTCTTAGTTTTTTCTTTTTAATATCCTGTTTCAAATTTCAGAGAAGGCATTTAGAATCCACAACCTACTCTTCCATTCCCCTTACACTGGTTTGGTTTAAGCATTCATGCCACAGCCAATTCTTTGCCATTAGATACAAAGCTCTTGGACATCAAAGAAAGGCTATGGCAAGATTTTGTTCAGTTGGTCTGTGCTCACGTAGCCACACGATGAGAGAAACTCTTTGTCAGGCAAGGGCAAGGTGGCTGCATTGAGTACAAGGCCTTGTGGAGATTGTACTAAATGAATGGAGGTATAGTCTGGGACAGGCATCTCAGAACCTGGGGCGTCTTCTGCTGTCCCAGACCTCTCGGCAGTAGTGGTAAGGCTTTCTGTGGTGATGTAAATGTCCTCCTGGTTAAAGCTTGGCTCGACACGTGATTCGACGTCGACATGAGGGGCCACAGCGATACACTTTTTGGCATCTGCTTCACAGAAGTAGGCGTTGTCCATGATGAAGTTTGTCTGGCAGAGTGAGACGACTTCTGGATGCGCATCACACTGAGAATTCCCTGCCTTGTTCTTCTGGCCTGGGGAAAGGACCACACTCCCTGCCGGCGTAATGTCACTAACCTGGGCGTAAAAGTCGATGTTTGCCAGTGAATTTGGATTGCTGAGCTGAGAAGGTGCAGCCTGAAGAGTGGATTCAATCTCACCAGTAAGAAGTGGTCGCGGTTTGTCTTCCTCTGCTAGGACGACCTCAGGCTGCTGAGCAGCAGGAGAAACATCATGGTAAGGTGAGTTATTTTGATTCTTCTGGTCAAGGCACAAGAGATCTGCTTCCCCTTTTAACCTTTGAGGCTGAGCAACCTCCGAGTTCCCGTCGCACCCGTCACTGGCATTGAAATCATTCTCCAGGATGTCAGGTTCGTAACAGCTGGTTCGTCCAGAGTCGTCATCCTTTGCTGCAAGGACGCTAAGTGATTTCTGATGGCTGTTGCTTAGAAGTCGGTCTGTGTCTGATCCCTCAGTCTTTTCATCAGGGTCATCGATGTCTAGCTCGATGAATTCAACCCAAGAGTCATCATTGTAGAATTCAGGCTTATAGCTATCTTGAATGGCTAAGATTGTGTTCACCTCCTCTAACTTTCCTTCCTAGGAAACAGAAAGAAAAGGATCTATGAAGAGAAAGCCTCTGGTTAAATAGTTTGGCAAATACTATTCAGAGACCAATTATGGTTACAATAAGAATAATTGAAAGAAAAACATAATAACAAACATAAGTCAGTGCAGACTTTTAAATATGTATGAAATTTCCATAATCTTAAGAGATGAAATGTTCATATTTTTTTCCTCTAGGAGATGAGATAGAAAAAATTTAAATGTGATACATGTAGTTGACAAAAAATACCATAAAAACCAGTCTCAACAACATGACAGATTTGTTCATCTGTCAATTAGTGCTATCTACAATTTAGACAGATTTATTAATTACCTTGAGGAGATCTGGATCGATTCCTTTAATCTTTGGAACTGGAACTGGGGGCAGAATCAGCATCTTAATCCTTGAAAACAAAATTTTGGTTTGATATACCTTAAAGGTTATATATTGTGTTATTTCAAAACATAGAAATAAAACATTGGGAGCACTATTACTTATTACAAATAGCCTGGTATTTTATATAAATGGAATATGAGAAAGGGAAGGCAAATATTAAGCAGTAAATGATCAAAACAGTAAAGGGTAGAAAAGGAACAACAACAAAAAGCCTGATCTGCAGTCCATTTAAATAAAACTTTTTTTTTTAACAATCTTTTCTTTTTCCTCACAGTGCTTTTTATTGACAGCAAACTTTAGTATTTGGAAGTGAGAAATTTAATTTCATATGAAGCTAACCAATTTTCATGTCAATTATAAGGAAGGCAATTTTAAGGTACATTTAATCAGTAATTTGCAAAGAAAATACACAAAGAAAAAGAGCCAAACCACATGAAGCCAAAATTACTTGTGGCCTTTAAAAAGGGCTTTCTTGGATAAGTTAGCACTGCATAGTTAACATTAATTATAAAGTCACCTAAGATTTTCTCATTAACTTGCATGTTACTGCAGGGTTCATTTCTGGTGGAACAAACTAAATATGATCCATCATTAGTATGGATTCATATGAACAACTCTGTGATAAACTCATATTTTCTGTTTTAAATATTTAAATATTTTTATATCATAATTCATTTCAACGTTTCTCCTGCCTGCCTAGTGTCTTGAAATATCCCCAGCACTTAACACAATTGTTGGAACAAGGAAAGTGCTTTATAAATAATTTCAATAAATTTGAGAAGATCATTTATCTATGCTGCTAATTGTGGACACCAGAATTTGCATCTTTAAATCAACCTTATAGCCTTGGAAAAAATCTCAGAGATTATTCATTTTCATTTTGTTTTAATAAACTTCCCAAAGTGTTCACAGATGTTACTGTAGGGAAGGGATGGTAGCCTGGTTTTGGGATATCAGTTGCTATTCTGCCCAGCGGGAATGAATGGTCTAGACTGCTTAATAAGGAAGATCATCTCTTAATAGTTCCACCCACTTACCCATTCAAGGAAACTGACAAGTTTCACTTTATAAGTTGCTCCGAGTGACCTCTACTTGACTTATTCAGAGGGGCAAGCATTAACAAATTATGACCAATGAATGGCAGATACATAATAAATAAAAAATTACTATATATGCTTTTGTTTGAATATGTCTGATAAACCATATACTGTGAGATATACTTTGCACTAAATTGAGGTTGGTAAATTATGGCCTGTGGGCCTACTCCTACATGCCATTTATTGTTAGATAGTTTTACTGCCCTACAACAATGCTCATTCTTTTACCTACTGTCTATGGCTGCTTTTATGACACAGTGGCACAGCAAAGTAGGTGTGACCAAAACAGCATTAAGATTCACTATCTTACTCTTTATTGACCTCCTACACTAAGCATTTCATTTAATCCTTGCAATCACCAAGGTGGCAAATGATATTATCTATACAAAGACTTGGAAAATTAAAGATTTTTATTCAAACTATGCACTAATAGTCGGCACAGGTAGGGATCAATACCTGACTTTAAAGCCCAGACTGTTTGTCCTCTGTCATGTTACTGTGTTGTTTGATTCTATATTTCTAAATGCATTTTTCAAATTTTCAAAAAACTCAGAAAGATATAACTAATTATAGGAGGCAAATTGTTAATGCTTGATTTTGTGGTGTGAGCGTCTCCTTTTGAAGAGGATGATGCATTTTGGCATGTTAGTGGTTTTCCAGAGTTACAATGGCCTTAGGCCCATTGCAGATCCTGAAACCTAAAGGGCCCAAGCAGGTCATGCAAATGAATGCAGCAGGCCAGTTGCAATGTCATTAGGAAGGATGGAGAGTACACACCTTTCTCAAAGGAAACATCTGGTTCTCTAGTTCAGCACATCCTACCATACAGGACTATCAGTCTGCTTTCACTAGGTCTTTCAGTTTGTAAGATAATCTCAGTGACCTATCATGTATTTTATGGGCAAGTAAAGGAGAAGAGCTCTGGGTCCCCAATCACAAAGCAATGTCAAGGGAGGAAAATGCTGATTACTCTGATTTGATCAGGACATACTAAATACAGGTATGGAAATGTCACACTGTAAACCATAAATAGGCACAAGCACTGTAAATTAAAAGTTTTAAAAAGTAATAAAAGCAAAAAGGAAACAAAAGAGATAATGCAGGAATCTGGACTTTAAGGTAAGAATTCTCCATTTTATAAATAATTTGTAGCAAAATATTTACTCCAAAATCAAAACAAAATAATAAAACACGGATATTCAGCAAAAACTTCTGAAGTTTTTGCTGACACACTTTTTATCTTTCTTCAGTTAATAATAGGTCAGGGATGATTGTATGGCAGGGATAACTAAAGACAATCTGTGTAGAAACTACATTTGTGATTTTGCTATTCTTTATTCAAACACAATTTATAGCATACACTTTTTCTAAAGATTTATTTATTATTTATTTGAAAGTCAGAGTTATACAGAGAGAGGAGAGGCAGAGAGAGAGAGAGAGATTTTCCCTCCGCTGGTTCACTGTCCAGATGGCCGCAACTGCTGGAGCTGTGCTGAGCTAAAGCCAAGGGCCAGGAGCTTTGTCCAGGAATCTCATGCAGGTGCAGGGGGCCAAGCACTTGGGCCATCTTCCACTGCTTTCCTAGGCCATAGCAGAGAGCTGGATCGGAAGTGGAGCAGCTGGGACTTGAACTGGCGCCCATATGGGATGCTGGCACTGTAGGCAGAGGCTTTACCCGCTATGCCAAGGTAAAGGCCCCTACAGTACACATTTTTCTAGAGTTGACTGTTAATTATGTGGATTAAGTCAGTATGAAGTAGCTTGGATAATGAATTCTGGATTCAAAATTTCAAAGACATGTAGGAACTGAACCCCTCTATAATCCTGGGTTTCTGGGGAAGACTGGCATAAGCATCTCATCCTTTGGAACATCATTTTATTTCTTGGAACTACATGTTCTTTTTGCTACCAAATATTTTATATCATTTCCTACTTACATTAGAACTTGCAAATTTAGAGAATTACAAAGTTTGTATAGGAAGATTTTAAAAAATGAATTCTTGCCTACAAAAAAGTCAATTTAGAATGAGAAATTTGGAAGTAGAATAAAGGTTTCAAATCAATCTTTTTTTTTTTTTTTTTTTGGACAGGCAGAGTGGACAGTGAGAGAGAGAGAGACAGAGAGAAAGGTCTTCCTTTTGCCGTTGGTTCACCCTCCAATGGCCGCTGCGGCTGGCATGCTGCGGCCGGCGCAATGCGCTGGTACGAAGGCAGGAGCTAGGTGCTTCTCCTGGTCTCCCATGGGGTGCAAGGCCCAAGGACTTGGGCCATCCTGCACTGCCTTCCCGGGCCACAGCAGAGAGCTGGCCTGGAAGAGGGGCAACCGGGACAGAATCCAGCGCCCCGACTGGGACTAGAACCCGCTGTGCTGGCGCCGCAAGGCAGAGGATTAGCCTAGTGAGCCGCAGTGCCGGCTCAAATCAATCTTACATTTTGGTGATTTTAATCAAGTGTCATAGTTTAGGACAACAATTTTCAGAGAAAATAGTCTTTTAGACAAACATTAATACATTTTATTTAAAATCCTATCTTTTAGGGGATGGTTTTTTCTTCTAAATATTGTTAGCTAATATAATTAAGCATCATAGCAAATTTATTTGGTAACTCAAAATAAGAATGTTGAGAAAAATGATTAAAAATAGTGAGTTTATCAATATCTATTATAAATCAGTTACGTACATAGAAGTCAGCCCACCTACTGTACAGATCATAATCAACAGAATAGTTTGGATTTTTGTTGTTGGGATTACTTAAATACATACTCTGACTTTTATTTTTTTTTTTTTACCCAGAAACCTTTTAAGGTATACAACTTCATGCATTTCATAAATATAACTTTAGCAACGCAGTGATTTTTCCCATCCTACCTGTCCTGCCACCCACATTCCCGCACTTATTTCTTCTCCTTCTCCTATTCCATTTCTTAATTTATACTAAGATTTATTTTCAATTAACTGTTCCTCACAGTCAAGACAAGGGATGTTCAAGGTCATTGCATCTCAAAGTGACAATTTCACTTCTATAGATTAAGTATTAAGTGCTCTATTAGTTTTCACAGATTTGGGAGAACATATGGTATTTTTCCTTATGGGGCTGCTTTATTTCACTAAGCATAATGTTTGTCAGTTGGATCCATTTTGTTGCAATTATAGGATTTTATTTTATTTTTCAGTCCTGTGTAGTATTCTACGGTGTACATATTCCATCATTTCTTTATCCAGTCTTCAGTTGATGGGCATTGGGTTGATTCCATATCTTAGCTATTGTGAATTGAGCTGCAATAAACATGGGGGTACAGATAACTCTTTCTTATGCTGATTTCATTTCCTTTGGGTAAATTCCCAGGAGTGAGATGACTGGGTCATATGGTAGATCTATATTCAGATTTCTGAGGTATCTCCATACTGTCTTCCACAGTGGTTGTACAAGTTTACATTCCAACCAACAGTGAATTAGGGCACTTTTATCCTATAATCTTGCCAGCATTTGTTGTTTGTTGATTTCTGTATGAAAGCCATTCTAACAGGGGTGAAGTGGAAGTTCATTGTGGATTTGATTTGCATTTCCTGATGGCTAGTGATCCTGAGCATTTTTTCATGTATCTGTTGGCCATTTGGATTTCTTCTTTTGAAAAATGTCTGTTTAAGTCCTTTGCATATTTCTTTAACTGGGTTGTTTATTTTGTTGTTGTGGAGTTTCTTGATCTCTTTATATATTGTGGATATTAATCTTTTATCAGTTGCATAATTTGCAAATCATTTCTCCCATTCTGTCAGTTGCCTCTTCACTTTGCCTAGTGTTTCTTTTTCAGTGCAGAAGCTTTTCAATTTGATGTAATCCCATATGTTAATTTTGGTTTTGATTGCCTGTGCCTCTGGGGTCTTTTCTAAGAACTCTTTGCCTATGCCAATGTCTTTCAGGGTTTCCCCAAAGTAATCTAATAATTAGACCGTATTAGATCATAGATTTAGGTCTCTGATCTATTGTTAGTGGATTTTTGTGTAAGATGTATGGTAGGGGTCTTATGTATGTGGAGATCCAGTTTTCCCAGCACCATCTGTTGAAGAAACTGTCCTTGCACAGGGATTGGTTTTAGCTCCTTTGTCAAAGATAATTGGTTATAGATGCATGGGTTGATTTCTGGAGTTTCTATTCTGTTCCATTGCTCTTTCTATTTGTTTTTGTGCTAGTATCAGGCTGCTTTGATTATAATTGCCCTGCAGTATGTCTTGAAATCTGATATTGTGATGTCTACAGCTTTGATTTTGTTGTATAAGATTGCTTTAGCTATTCAGGGTCCCAGGTTTCCATATGAATTTCAGCATCATTTTTTCTATATCTGAGAAGAATGACCTTGGTATTTTGAATGGTATTGCATTGACTCCACAAATTCCTTTCAGTGGTATGGACATTTTGATGATATTGATTCTTGAAGTCCATGAACATGGAAGATTTTTCCATTTTTTGTGTTTTCTTCTATTTCTTTCTTTATGATTTTAATTCTCATCATAGAGATCTTTGATGTCCTTTTTTTCTTCAGCTATTGTGAATGGGATTGGTCTCTGAAATTCTTTCTCAACTGCGGCATTGTCTGTGTATACAAAGGCTATTGCTTGTTGTGTGTTGACTTCATATCCTGCCACTTCACCAAACTCATGAGTTCCGGTAGCTTCTTAACGGAGTCTTAGAATCATGTCATCTGCAAATAGAGAGAGTTTGACATCCTCCTTCCCAATTTGTATCCCTTGATTTCTTTTTCTTGCCTAATGGCTCTGGGTTAAAACTTCCAGGACTATATTGAATAGCAATGGTGAGAGTGGGCATCCTTGTCTAGTTCCAGATCTTATTGGGAATGATGCTTCCAACTTTTCTCTATTAAATAAGTTTGTCATAAATTGCCTTGATTGTGTTGAGGAATGTTCCTTCAGTAACACAATTTTTTTAAAGTTTTTATCATGAAAAGATGTTATATTTTCTTGAATGCTTTCTTTGCATCTATTGAGATAATTCTATGGTTTTTGTTCTTCAGTTTGTTAATGTGATGTATCACATTGATTTGGGAATGTTGAACCATCTCTGCATACCAGAGATTAAAATCCCACTTGGTCCAGGTGAATGATCTTTCAGATGTGTGGTTGGATTTGGTTGGCTAGAATTTTTTTAGGATTTTTACATCTATGTTCATCAGGGAAATTGGTCTATAATTCCATTTCTCTGCTGTAACTTTTTCAGGTTTAGGAATTAAAGTGATGCTGGCTTCATAGAAGGAGTTTGGGAGGATTCCCTCCCTTTCAATTGTTTTGAACAGCTTGAGAATAATTTGAGTTAGTCCTTTTTAAAGGTCTGGTAGAATTCAGAGTGAAGTCATCCAGTCCTTGGCTTTTCTTTGTTGGGAGGGTGTTTATTACTGGTTTAGCTTCCATCACGGTTATTGGTCTCTTTAGGTTTTCTACATTTTCCTGGCTCAATTGACGTAGGTTCTATGTGTTCAGGAATCAATCTATTTCTTCTAGGTTTCCTGATTTCTTATATACAGCTCTTTGTAGTAATTTCTGATGATTCTTTTTATTTATGTGGTCTCTCTTTTTACATTTCTTTTTTCATCTCTGATTTTTTTTTATTTGGGTCTTCTCCCTCTTTTTTTTTTTTTTTTTTGGGTTAATTGGGCCAATGGTGTGTCAATTTTGTTTATTTTCTCAAAAAAAAAAAAAACCCAGCTCTTCCTTTCACTTATTTTTTGTATTTATCTGGTTTCAATTTGATTATTTCTTTTCTAATTTTAATTATTTCTTTTCTCCTACTAATTTTTGGTTTGATTTACTATGTTTTTCTTGGTCCTTGAAATGCATCAATAGTTCATTTTTTGGTGTCTTTCCAATTGCTTGCTGTTGGCACCAACTGCTATGAAGTTTCTTCTTAACACTGCTTTTGCTGTTTCCCATAAGTTTTGATATACTGTATTGTCATCTTCATTCATTTACAGGAATTTTTAAATGTCTCTTTTGATTTCCTCAATGATCCATGGTTCATTTAGGAGTATGTTTTTCAGTTTCCATGTGTTTACATATGTTCTAGAGATTCTTGAATTTTTGAAATCCAACTTCATTCCATTGTGGTCACAGAAGATGCATGGTATGATTTAGATTTTTTTGCATCTGCTGAGACTTGCTTTATGGCCTAGCATGTGATCAATCCTAGAGAAAGTTCCATGAACTGGTGAGAAGAATGTGTATTCTGAAAGTGTAGGATCAAAAGTTCTGCAGATATCCGTTTCTTCCACTTGGACTACAGTGTCGATTAATTGTTTCCTTGCTGATATTCTGTGTGGTTGATCTGTCCATTGCTGAAAATGGGGTATTGAAGTCCTCCGTTACTATTGTAAGAGGGTCTATGTCTTCTTTTAGATCCATTAACATTTGTTTTAATAGCCAGGTGCCCTGTAATTAGGTGCATATATGTTTATTATAGTCATATCTTGGAATATATCTCACCATTCTCTCCTAGCTTATAGGGTTTCTGATGAGGAACCTGCTGTGGGTCTAGTTGGAGATCCTCTGAAACTAATCTGGTGTTTCTCATGTGTACATTTTAGAATCTTTTCTTTATGTTTTACTGTGGAGAGTTTGACTACAATGTGTTATAGTGAAGATCTTTTTTGGTCATGTCTATTAGGAGTTCTGTGTGCTTCCTATACTTAAGTGGACATCCCTTTCTTTCTCCAAATTAGGGAAGTCTTCTGTAATTATTTCACTAAAAAATGCCTTCTAATCCATTCTATCTTTCTATGCCTTCAGGAATTCCTAAGACTCATATATTGGATCATTTGATGGTATCCCATGAATCTCAAACAGTTTTTCAGTTTTGTAACTTTTGTTTTTTTGGTCTGACTGTAAAATTTCTAGAGATTGTCTTCTAACTTGAATATTATTTCTTAGGCCTCACCAAATCTGTTGTTAAGGCTTTCCACTACATTTTTTATTTGATTTATTGAATTCTTTATTTCTAATATTTCATTTTGTTTCTTGTTAAAATCTCGATTTCATGAGAAAAATTTTTATTAATGTCATGTATGGATTTCTTTAATTCATGAATTTGCTTTTGATTACTTCTAAGTAATCCTACAATCTAGTTTTTGAGTTCCTTTTCCAGCATTTCTTCAATCTTCATCTTCACATCCCAATATTGAAGTATTGTTGTATTCCTTTGGGGGCATCATGTTGTCTTCCTTATCTTATTTCTTGAATGGCTGTGTTTATTTTTAGGCATTGTTGGATATTTTTCCCCTGTGATGCTTTTTACCTTTGACTTTGCCTCTGTGGTTAAGTGAAGTATCTGTTCTTTCAGTAAATACCCAGAGGTACGTGCTGGGTGTGGCCTAGGAGCCCTGGTCAGCACTCCAGGGTGAGGGGAGTATCCAGGGTGACACCCACTTTGGTTGTGGTAAATCTCTCTCTCTTTTTATCAGAGGGGAGGGTTTGATCAGCTCTGCTGGTATAGTCTCATGCACATGTCCTCTGCTTCAAGGAGACCAATAACTGGATGATAGCCACAGTGGGTATAATATTTATCTGCACTTGCCACAAAAACCACACAAAGGATCTATGCAGTCCTCAGTGTGAGCACAGATAATGCAGCAATGACTCTCACCAGGTAGTCAGGGAGCCCTGAGCACGTGGAGCTATCCACAATGACTGCTAAGAGACTCAGCTACACCTTGTGCCCTCCCTTGCAGCCACAGTGTTTTCACAGCCTCATCCCAGCACACAAGGCTCCCGCAGTCATGAGTGCCCAGCTCTGTCAAGTAGCTAGACTCATGTATTTCCTCTTGGCTGGTTGCTGGGCACATGGACACAAGCTGGCTCGGCTGTTAGCATGCTCAACATGGCACCTGCTATCTCTCTGCCAGTTACAGGACACTGGTGCCCGGTGGCCTAGGAGAGAGAAATGTAACCACCCCTCTATTTCCCCTCTAGATTTTCAGGTACACTGTCCCCCACTGGGCTCCAGTAGGACTCATGCAAGGCTCTTCCCATATCTTTACTGCCAGTGGCTTGGACTGCCACAATCTGGTCTCATCTCACTCTTCAAAGCTGCTGCCAAGGCCCTCGGCTGCTGAAATCCCAAATTGTGCATGTCCACACCCTCCTTGTATATCTACAGTGTCCCTCTAATTAGCATGGAGTTTCCTCTGCAGTTTTCTCTCTAACTCTTCCCTGAGATTGCACTCTTTCAACTTTTTTTTTTTTTAAGACTATGTACCCTTAGACTGGAGCAGTAAGCTCTCTCCCTATTCTGCCATTTTATAATCTCCCCATACTCTGATTTTTAACATTTGTTTTTGAAAACTGAAATGCTGTTATAAAACCAAATGTAAAATGAAATTCTACAGGGAATTTTGGTTTCCTTTTGTTTCACGTTATATCATTTGTGGCTGAAAGCACCAACAATAACTCTTTCTGTATCAAATTGTAGACTTTTTAGCATGTTTGACATTCTAGAACACTAGCATTGCAAGAATCCTTCTTTCTAATAGTATTTATTTTGAAGTTTACTATGCCAGGCTACCTCAAAAAACAAATTAAATGCTTTTACAGTATATTCACATAGATCTCACTTTGTAGATTGTTCTTGACTACTGCAGGAGAACTTATTTTCAATTTTATGTAGGATGACCAACCAAACTGGTTGGCTGGAATTGAGGGAGTTCCCAGGACCTAGGACTTATAGTGCTAAAACCAGGCAAACCCCAGGCAACCTTAGTAGTGTTAGTCACTCTAGCTCTAGTAGAAGGAGCAGCATTAACCCACAAGGCTTAGTATCTTAAATGTAAGAAACTGGCAATCTACATGAACCATTTTTTCCTTTGTATTTTCTATAAAAAGTATCTTACAGTGTGTATAAAGCTTCAGGAAGAAAAATAGAATGATAGCATCTCAAAGCTCAGGGCAAATTGAAAGGTCATAGGACCCTATGCTTTCATATTGCTCACTAGAATATGGAAATCCAGTGAGGTGAAGGGATTCAAACAAAATTAAATAATAGTGGCAGAATAATAACTAGAACTCAAATCTTATAATTTGACAGTGCAGAAATAACTCTTTTCAAATTTAGAATTTTAGCTTGTTTATACATATAGATTAAACACAAAATCATAAATATCCAAATGATTTAAATAAAACCCAAATTCACTTGAAATCCCCATCATATGAAGTCTAAAAATGTTTGATTAGATTTAAATCTAAATGGCCTTTGTTTGCTACTTGAAATTTGCCTGTACATAAGAAGTGTGTCAGACTCAGCCAAAGACTCAGCAACATCCTGGGGTATTGGAACAAGTAAACTTAGTGAGGCATTGAGGGGGGGAGGTAGCTCTTAGACAAGGAGGTGCATATCGCAAAGTATGCATGTCAGGTGCCTAAGCTTTTAATGTCCTGTAAAACACCCCAGAGAGAATCTAAACTTGTCAGTTTTCTATGATGGACACAACAAATTGAGTTTTATATAAACAGAATCAGTATAACTTTTGGAAATTGTAGGTTAATTTAAAGTTCCAGTCATAATTTATAAAAGACAATATCAAGTAACAAATAGAAATACACATGGAAATCTAAATTGGCAATAACATACTAAAGAAGACTATTTCACTCATACCTTTGCTGTTTAGAAAATATGAATACGAATAGCATCACTGTTAGTCCAAATATTCCAAAGATAATAATTAAGAACCATGGAAACCGGAAATCTGAAACACACAAGAATATGTCACTCACAGAGTTGTGAACTGTTGAAGTGAAGCTTACATCTCACTGGCCTTTTTCATATAAAAATATTTGCAATTTGTATTCATCTGGTAAATCAATGATTCACTCAATAATCACTGAAACAAAGTACATTGACTTAACCAGTTTTTTTTCCCCTCAGGAAACACCTCCATTCGCTTTTCAAATCCTTTTACATTAAAAAAAAAAGCCCTCAGATATACCCGGGAATACTACTCAGCCATAAAGAAGAATGATATCCTGTCTTTTGCAACAAAATGGATGCAACTAGACACCATCATGCTTACTGAAATCAATCAGTCTCAAAAAGACAAAATATCATGTTTTCTCTGAAATATGGCAGTTAATATAGAATACCAAAAAATGTATAGGAATGCAATGATCATTTGGGATAGGATTGTTATTTTTAGCCCTTGCTTATACTCTTGTGGAACTGTGGTCTTCCTACTTTTAACTTGTGAACTATTATTATGAGTGGCTAATTAAGCCTGTAAATACAGAGTGGATTAAAATTATGGCTTTGCAAAAACTGATGGAGAGTGTGGGAGCAGGGAAATGAGAGAAGTATGGTTTTCTTGGAACTGAAGCTATAAAATGTGTAAAATCTGCTCTATTTATATTAATAAAAAAGAAAATAAAAAAGAAACTTCAAAATAAAGAGCATACAGTTCAAACTCAATGCTTTAATTTTTTTTAAAGCAAACTGCTTTATGCATCTTTTCTGTCCAGGGAATATCATTAAAGGCTTCAGTTCGAGGAAGAAAATGCTAATTGATAAATGTAAGACCTGTGGCCATTGCTGTGGCTCACTTGGGTAATCATCCGCCTGCGGCGCCAGCACCCCATATGGGCTCAGGTTATAGTCCTGATTGCTCCTCTTCCAGTCCAGCTCTCTGCTGTGGCCCGGGAGGGCAGTAGAGGATGGCCCAAGTGCTAGGGTGCCTGCACCAACATGGGAGACCAGGAGAAAGCTCCTGGCGCCTGGCTTTGGACTGGCATAGCTCCGGCCGTAGTGGCCATTTTGGGGGGTGAACCAACAGAAGGAAGACCTTTCTGTCTCTCTCTCTCACTGTCTATCTATCAAAATAAATTAAAAAAAGATAAACATAAGACTCCAATATTGTCCACTGTTTCTTAAAAGTACAATGATACTTTTAGCCTTCAGATAGAGAATTTATCAAAAAGATGAGGGCAGAGTTTATATTTATGAATCATGACAGAAATTCCTTAGGCATACAGAACATACAACTTACAACTTCATATCTTCGAAAACTTCACAGAAAGTGTAAATTATGAAAAAATTATGTATGGGAGTTGAAAAATATTTTGCACCAAAATAAATTTACCTTTTAATTTCACTTTTCCACAAACTGTTTGAAGTTCTTTTCTGAGTGTGTGTGTGTGTGTGTGTATGTGTAAAACACACCAATCTACTTTGACATAAAAATCATGATTGAGACCCCCATATTCAGGTTTTAGCACACTTTGTATCAGACTTGGGGGAACTCTGTTCCTCAAACTTTTATTTTATTCCTTGAGGAAGAATTCCTTCCAGCTACCTTGTTGTTGGTTCTTAGTATTCTTACCACAGGGGCAAAGGCTACTTACTCTTTAATAAAGATAGGATTTAGCTTCATGTTGCTTTATTAAAATTAGGTCTATATGCTGTAATATTCTTTTCTTATATACTAAGTATTAATATTCTTTTCTTATATACTAAGTTATTAATGTTATGGGTATTTTAAATAATTGATGGGAGAGAAAAAACTATTTTGTATTTGTGTATATGATTTTATATTAATGATAAATTCAAGAATGAACTATATAGCTAGAGCTTCATTTTTTGAACATAGAAGGAAAATCAATTTTTTAAAAAAATTATGCTGAGTGAATTAAATGCCACTTCACCAAGCTTAATGGATATGCGGCAATTGCATTTTTAAAACTAGGATTACATAATATCAAATATTATTTGAAAACAAGAACCATTTAAATGTAACTTAGAAAAAATGGTGCTACAGCAATTTTCATCTCAACTTTTTTTAGTGAGATTCTACTTGAACAGTAAATGAAGATATTAAAGTTAAATTTTTATGTAGCTTGTATTGTTTCATTAACAAACCTCAATCCCAAATATGGCTCTGAAAACCGCCCTTTTTTAACAGTGCTGGGATATAGCCAATTTCTACTTAAGAGTGAAAACATCATACACTTACTGCTCATTATTATCAGCCTTCTTTATGTTAATATCTAAGATTTTTTAATTCTTTTATTCTGAATTCCTAGGTCTTATTTTTAAAAATTTTAATCATCTCTATGGTACTCACATGTAGGCTCTTCAAAGGTTGCACGTGTCCTTTGGGCATGACCAGCACACTAGTGGGTAAAAAGCCACACCTCCACTTTTCAAAACCGATAAACACCTCTCAATGACTATCTATGTTGACTCAACATTAGTCCCTCTCTTCAATGCCACATATACAGCCATTTATATAGATACAGACCTTCTTTCCTAGACATTAGAAGAACATTTTTTTCTGATTATGAAGTTAAAACAAACTCGTTTTAGAAACTTCAAAAATAACTAGACATATGAAATTGTACTATCCAGAGACAACCACAGTATTCCTTTTTCTAAACATTCACCACAGGTCTGGTCCTGATTTAAATAATTTGGACACTAAATTCTCCTTCTGAGTCTGCAATGGTTATTTTTTTCTACAGATAGTGGGCTTGAGGTCTCTCACCCTGATGTTTGATATTAATATATTGTGATCTGGACAATTCACCAACACTGAAGGCACGTATAAATTGCTATATGCCAAAAGCTATGTTAGCTACTGTTTTAATATTTTATTTCATTTGTTTTACCTTCTTCACATGTGAATGGGCTCATTTGAGGAAGGGTTACATAGAGCACCTCACTGAACTCGCCATATTTTTCAGAGCTTCGCTGTCTGGATCTCACACGCACTTCATATTCTTTGTCCAGTCTTAACGAGTACACAGGAACTGATGTCGACAATACAGGGTCCATCTTTTAAGACAAAACATAAAAGCTTATTGGCTCAAGAGTCAACAACTGAATGCAGAGTATTCTGTCGGTGTTCTGGCTTTTGTATTCAACACTGATTCCTATAAGTGGGTGATATTTTAAAATTCAAGTGGGGGGCCGGCGCCGCAGCTCAATAGCCTAATCCTCCACCTGCAGTACCAGCACACCGGGTTCTAGTCCCGATCGTGGTGCCGGTTCTGTCCCGGTTGCCCCTCTTCTAGGCCAGCTCTCTGCTGTGGCCCAGGAGTGTAGTGGAGGATGGCCCAAGTGCTTGGGCCCTGCACCCGCATGGGAGACCAGGAGAAGCACCTGGCTCCTGCCATCGGATCAGCGCGGTGCGCTGGCCACAGTGGCCATTGGAGGGTGAACCAATGGCAAAGAAAGACCTTTCTGTCTCTCTAACTGTCCACTCTGCCTGTCAAAAAAAAAAAAAAATCAAGGGGGTAGTTTGCTATTTAAAGGAAGAATGAGACAAATAATGATGAAAAGAATCATTTTCTTAAATGGATAATAGTCCTTGAATTTATCTTCAGGTAAATCTACAACAGACTTGCTTAAAGAAATGCAGCCACATCTTTGCATTGGGCTGTCAAATGTTATACCAAGATTAAAGCATAATTAAATTATTATGTAAAATGATGGAAATATAAATAAGGCTACAGCTATCTTTCCCACTTATCTGAGACACTGCAGTTATGTATGGCAGAAAATAAAACAATAGAAATATAAACATATTTCCACATATAGCAAGTGATTTCTGTGATTTTTTTTGGAAATCTTTGGTATTATTTATATAATTTCTGAATTGTAAAAGGAGTTAGAAAAGTCATCATTGTCCTTACTGGACTTTCAAATAACTGTATTAGAAGCAACTACTTACCTAGCCTATTTGTTTCACAAGTAGTTTAGTATTCAAAATATGCAAAGAAAACCCACTGGAGTCGTTTGATAATAAACATCAAGGTCTCCCAATCCTCAGTGCCAGGAGATTCCTTTCCCTCCCCAGAGAAGGGCAGAGCGAGACTATTAGACTTTTAAGACAAATTACCATCAAAGAGTTTGATCCTACTAGTGGTGATGTTTTTCCCCTCTTCAAGTCAAAGCAGATATTCAGTGTGATTTGCATATATTTAGGAATTGCAATATTTTGGAATGTTCACTTTTTCAACAACATGGAATTTCACATAAATAAAATCCCATAATTTGTTTTATTAAATCAGAAGCTGGGTCTTTAGCCTTTAAAACAAATTTTTCTTTCATCCCAGTTAGTTTCTCCTAACAAAGCATACATGGCATGGTTACTTGTATCTTCTATTGTAGCTACAGAATATATAGAATATTTGTACATCTAAAATTCCATCTTTAGGGCAGAATTTTAATATTAATGTTTCTTATTTTTCTTAAAATACCTTTGTAAGCTTAGGTTTCAATACTAGAAGCCCCAATTTCTCTGTTATTGTCAGCATCACTATTTACAACTTCATTAACAACAGAACCAAAGAGCTGACATATGATCCTTACCTATTTTCTTTCAATCCCCCATACCAGCCATACCAAATTCAAATTTTCTCATATGGTTCCTAGTGATACCCATTCCTTGTCTAATATCACTACAATACTCAGTCTTTCTTGACACTTTTCCCCACTACACTGTGAGATAATGCACTTCTATTGTTATATTTTATCACTGAAATTTAATTATATAACATTTCTCTATACAATACATTATAATTTTCCTGAGGGAACACATTTTTCAAACTATGAAACTGATAAAGGATTAGTATCCAAAATCTATAAAGAACTTTAAAATATCTTAAACATTTTACATTATACATTAGAGATTTATTTTATTTATTTGAAAGGTAGAGTTACAGAGAGAGAGAGAGACAGCGACAGAGACAGAGAGAGAAAGAGGGAGAGGAGGGACTTTCATCCATTGTTTCACTCCTCAATTGCTGCAATGACCTGGGCTGGGCCAGGCTGAAGCCAGGAGCCAGGAGCTTCTTCCAGGTCTCCGATATGGGTGCAGGGCCCCAAGCACTTGGGCCATCCTCTGCTGGTTTCTCAGGCACATTAGCAGGGAGTTGGATTGGGAGTGGAGGAGCTGGGACTTGAACTGGTGCCCATATCAAATGCTGTTGCTATAGTCTGGGCCTTTAACTCACTGTGCCACAGCACCAGCCGCAGTAAAGAAGAAGAAAAAGTAGAAAAACTAAGCCCAAAGTTGGTAGAAGGAAATAATAAGATGAAGGTAGAAATAAATGAGATACTACAAAGCAACATAAAATATCAAGAGAATTTGAGTTGATTTTTTTTAAAAAAAGAAAAACATCTACACATCTTTAGCTAAACTAAGAAGAGACAAGATTCAAATAAGTAAAATAAGAAATGAAAGATGAGACAGTACAACTAACACCAGAGGAATATAAAGTCTATTAAGAGATGCTATGAATAATCATAGACCAGCAAATTGGATGACCTACAATAAATGGATAAATTCCTAGACATATACAATGTATCATGACTGAATCATGGAGAAATAGAAAATTTGAATAGAACAATGAGTAAGGAGACTAAATCAGTAATACTAAGTAATACCAAGCTTCCTATAAAACATAAGTTCAGGATCTGATGGCTTCACTGCTGAATTCTACTATACATTTAAAGAAATAACACTGATCCTTCTCAAACTCTTCCAAAAAACTCAAGAGAAGATTTCCTCATTCTGAGGCCGCTATTACCCTATACCAAATCAGACAAAGACAAGGAAAGAAAATCATAGGCCAGTATCTTTAATGAACACCGATGCATAAATTCCATACAAAATATTAGTAAACCAAATTCAATAGACAAAATATTAGTAAACCAAATTCAATGACTCTCATTAAGAGAGTCATTCACCAAGATCAAGTGGGATTTATCGTTTGGATGCATGGATCATTTCACATACACAAATTTATAAAAGTAACACACTATATTAATAGAATGAAGGGAAAAAAACCCTCATGGTCATCTCAATACATGTCAAAAAAAGCGATTGAGAAAATTAAGCATTCTTTCATTATAAAAACTTTGAACAAAATAGGTCTAGAAAATGTGTACCTCAACACAATAAAAAACAGATTCACAAATCCACAGCTGACATCATATGCAACAATGAAAACTTAAATGATTTTTCTCTAAGATTAGGAACAAGATAAGGATGCCCATTCTGGCCACCTCTACTCAAACTAATCCTGGAAATCCTAGCCAGAGTAATTAGGCAAGAGAATGAAATAAAAGGCAACCAAATTGGAGAGGAAGAATTTAAATTTCTGTTGTTTGCAAAGAACAAGATCTCATATATAGAAACTCTAAATATTCTACTAAGATTATTCTACCAAAAAACCTGTTAGACTAAACAAATTCAGTACATTTGCATGCTACAGAATCAATATACAAAAATAAGTAGTGTTTCTACACATTAATAGTGAACTATGCCAAAAGAGAAATGGAAGAAAACAATTTTACTTATAATAGTACAAAAACACTTGGGAATAAATTTAACCAAGGAGGGAAAGATTTATATACTGAACACTATAAACCTCTGTGAAAGAAATTGAAGAAGAAACAAATGGGAAGATAGTGCATGGATTTGAAGGACGAATATTGTTATTATATCCCCTTTCTTATCCCCTGCTATCCTTGAAGGGATAATTTTCCCATGTGTGATTTTGATTACATCATGCATTACTCATTTGCAAACCATTGGTTCACTGATTCAGGTTTTCTAAATGTCCGCATGTTTTATTACATAACTAAAAAAAAAAAAAACTCTTTCACCAATATCATCATGAATCTCATCAAGAAAGCCCTCAAACATTGGAAATCTATCAAGCTCCTGGATACAGATACAAGTTTTCCAAAATTCTAATTTTCCTTTGAAAGCTCAAATTTTTTCACTGGCAACAAACCGCGCCAGTTGTTTTCCTTGAAATGACAAGCTTACTTCATTCTTTCTATTCTACTCAAATAACAAGCGATAGATAGTGCTCCACATACACAGGCAGCTAGCTCAGCCAGCAGCTCCATCATTTCAGTGCTTTTCCTCAAGACAACTACCAGTACCTCAGTGGGCAATGTACATGCTTTATGTGTGCTTCCCACGTGTCTCACAGAATATTAGACTGTATGTATTCAAAGGCTTAGATTTAATAAAGTCCATTTTTTACAGTGCCATTAAACAAATTAAGTGAAAATATCTCTCCCCTTTCTTAACTGGGAGCACATGGAGGTGATCAAATAGTGACTATGGGTAAAGTTTGTTATTACTGTGTTGGTTTATGCTAAGGTGCCAGTTTTCCCACAACTGTTGTTGTACCACCAGTGTAAATGCCAAAACAGTGAACAAATAAAATAACATTTTATATATTGTGGAAATAAAATATTGTGGATTACCTGGAAGGCCCTTAGGGATCCTCAAGGGTCCACAGTTCACATTTTGAGAATGGCTGTTTGATTGTGATATGGATTGAGAAAGTCCTGCTTGACTTAGCATACAACCATGCTTTTTCTCACCAAGTTACAGAGCAGATATCTAAATTAAAATGATTCAGCAAACAAAACCTCAAAGCCCAACTTTGTAACTTCAAAGGTGTTTCCAAATTCTGGGAGTGAGCTATGCCATGCTGCTGCACATAACCTAGTGACTGGCCAGAAACTGCCTGGCCAGGTCAGGGCTGTTGCTGAGGTTAGACTAATTCAGAATTGGTTACATTGGGAGCAGCACCATAATCCTAGTTTTCTTTCTGTTGTGTGTGCCATGTGGAATTTATCTAAGTGAAAAGTTTCCGTATACATGGCAAAGAAGTGAGGGGTTCAGAGGCCAATCATTACCATGCTCTCTACTTAATAACCTCTTAGTGTGGTTCCCCTTAGAGGTACACAACAATACATCTCTCTGAAATCTCAGAGGAATGAGGTCCTTCCCTCTGTCTTCTGATTAACAATTGATTTTAATGGGGGGTCTTGTATGTAGTAGAAACTATAATAATCAGATAATATTTGTCCATAACGCACTGTGGATCTTAATCACAACTTAGGCTCATCTCCAAAGACAGAGATTCTGTACTAAAGTTAAACTGAACACTCACAGAATTAGGTTTCTTTTTCTCTCAAATGCTACCAGATACATAAGTTCCATACAAGAATCTGATGTTTTACAGAATTCAAGATGATATTTTACTGGTTAAATCAGTTTTCCTCAAATAAGAAATTATGGATCATGTTGCTGGCGTGGGGTATTAGGTCAAAAAGAGATCTAGTTATAAATAAGAGGGGTTGCTGAAGTAGAAGAAAAGTCTAAGCGTAAGAGGTAGTGACGTCTTACCATTTTCCATTGAGTTTCATTGACTTCTTTGTATTGAAGTTCATACTCCAAGACTATCCATCCCTTCTGAACATCTGCATTGGGTGGTGGTTCCCATCGCACTTGAATATCTGCATGAATCCCGGTTAAGCTAACATTCAGTAAAGTCCAGTTGAGGCCAATGGGTGGATCTGGTTGCACTGTGCAATTCAATAGAAAATTAGTATACAAGGGAAATATCATACTTGATATTAATGGAGCATTTTCTCCTAAATAAACCTAATGATTTTATACTTTTGGATCACTCATACTCTTAATTATTGAAATATTACTATTATAGCTCTCACTTTACAGGAGAGTACGTTTTACCACTTTTAGCTCTGATAGCATTAGTTCTTGGCAAAGGAATCTATAAATTTTTAACACTGAAGGAACAGAAAGTCAGAAAGATCCACAATGTTTAAAACTGGGGTTATTCTGCATCTAGAGGTAGACAAATCTTTTTTTTTTCTTTCAAGATGTGTATGACTCAGGGACAAGGGACTTGGTCTTATTCATCTCTACATTGCCACTAATACAATCCTTCTGAACATGCTGCAAGTGTTCCTTAAGCCTTATTATCTTCTTGGCCATATGTGATCATTCTTCAGACATAGGAAGCAGAACAATATACTGCTTTTAAATAGTGACATTTGCATATTTTCTTTCACTTAGCTGCCACGTGAACAATTTGAAGTATATATCTCTAGTAAGGGTTTTGAAAACCACTTGTACCACTTGACAACATGACAGATGGTATTGTAGAGCCTCGCGATTCTGGGAACCATTATACTTAGTGAAATAAGCCAGTCCCCCAAAGACAAATACCATGTGTTTTCCCTGACTCATGGTAAATAATAGAGTACCTAAAATGCAATGTATTGGAGTGAAATGGACATTTTGAAGTTCTTTGATTGTTTTCTGTTGAGGAACAGTTTTTTTTTTTTTTTTTTAATGTTCATACTATTTGAGTTGAACTCTTTTACTTAGGATAGGGTTAACTTTATGATCATTAAGTAAGTTGAAAGTGGGTCTCTGTAAAAATTAAGAGTGGAAATGGGAGAGGGAGGAGGAAGAAGAGTTGGCACATGAGCAGGAGGGAGGTAATACTATGTTCCTAAATCTGTATATATGAAATTCATGAAACTTGTATAACTTAAATAAAATTTTAAAAAAACACAAAAAAGAGCATGCCCATGGATGTATGTCACCTGGGTTTAAATGCCAGCTCTACCCACTAGTTGTTTGAATTTGAACTAATCATTTAAGTGTTTTGAGCCTTGGCTTTCCCATCTGTAAAATGGGGTTTAAAATACATTCTATGTCACATGACTGTTACACATGACACATGGTAAGTCCTTTGTAAGTGTTATTTATTATTGTATTCAATCATTCTTGCTTGAACCACACAAATGTACCTCATGGCAATATGATAAAAAATCCAAATTCTTTTGTGGGGCACATAAGATTACTGATGACTCCTCCAGCTGACCATTAGGCCTACCTGACACCATTCTGTGCTGTTTGTTAGTTTTGAACTTAATAGTTGCTGGAAGGCTTAGTTTACCATTATACCTAGCATCACTCACTGATGCTTCAAGAGGTAACTGAACTGCCATCATCCCTGTGCAATTTTTCTGGTCTGGTCAATAATCCATGTTTAGGGTCACTACCTCAGTAACTATGCATTCCCATACCTCAAGTGGAGAGCTCACCATGTTAAACTGCATTTACTCATGAACATTCCTCTTTCCCTTACTTTGACCATATCTGTAACCACAATATTTAATGAGTATCTGACAGATGGCAAATGCTCAAAGTCAGTGGTTAATTGGTGGGGATAGCTATTGGCAAGGGTAGGGTTAGAACACAAGTTTTATTTAACATAATACTGTCTCATTTAGCTTCAACTTAACAGCTACACTCACTGATGTCAGGACATAATATTAGTCTCTCCAAACTAGGCTACTGGGTTGTCTTTTCTGCTTAGTAGAATTTTCTCAATCTTCCCCCTCAAAATCAGGCTATCAGATTTGACTTGATCCTTCTTGCAGTTTTAGCTACCTTCTTCCACTCCTTTTCAGATTGATGATGCCTAGGAAACCACAAATAATCAGGGAGAAGTGACAAGGAATCACTACAAGCAATAAATGAGATTTTCTGGATGGATTTTGAGGCATCAAGGCCAGTTACTTAAAATGTTTCTTTGATTCTTTCTGTTTTGCTGTTTATACTATAATAGCATAAACAGAAATATTGCAGTATTTGTTTGGTTTCATTTTGTTTCCTCATTATGTACACATGATGGAAAAGGGAACACTTGTTTGGATATTTCACTTAGTTCATTGAGCTGATTATCTCCAATGTTTGTTTTGAGATCTTATAAACATGTCTTTAAACTGATTGTGGATGTTGTGTGATTGTAAAGTCCCAGAATTATGAGGCATTGAGATAAAGAAAATCTAGGCTCTGATTATAGCAATGACATCAGTTAAAAGCCCATATACTTAAGTAGATTTGTATATAGCAATCATATCTAATGATTAGGAAAGAAGGAATCTTGAGAATACAGTGAGTTTTCACCTTGCCGTGACACAAAAAGGCAATCCAGCTTTAACAAGACTCCCATTCTTTTCTTCACAACATTTACTTCCATGCTGTTTTATTTCAGAGCCAACTTAAGTTCCCCCTACCCTTTGCTTTTTGGTCACCAGCTGATGCCATCTCATGTGAAAGAATCTCCATGTGCCCATAGAGCCCGATTACAGTCTTCCTACTTTGCAAGTTGTAACCTTCCCCACTTATTCAGTCTAAAGCTTTGCCAAATGTAACACAAACCTGTGATTTACCTATTTCCTCAACAGAGAAACACTTTTGATCCACCATACCACCATTGTTAGTTAGCTTGATACAGTAGGGGATCCAAATGGAGGTATAGGATGAATTAAAGTAACAGCTGTTCTCCCCAGCAGAAACATAGTCAGGGCATTCTTTCCATTCTTGAGTCCATTCTTGAGTGTTCCTGGAATGGAGGGTAAAAATTATGGCCCAGGTTAAGTCCAGGTGAGGTGCTTGTCAGTCAGATTCCATAAATTGGAACATAAATACTTTGTGAGGAAGTATTTCAGCAACCATCCCCAAAAGCTGTCACATCTGTAATAATACCATCAGTGTCTGGAGGCTGTTGGGAGGTCATTTGGCATTTCTGCCCAGAGTAAAGGCATTTCTTTATTGAGTGCATGTGTTCTGCCAGATCCTACATCAAGTGATTTCTATGGTAGGTATTCTATTATTTATATTCTATGGATAAAGAAAGCTCAAGGAGATTTCAAAAATGTTCATTATTAAAATAGTAGAGGTAGTCTACCCTCTACCAATGTAGATTCCCAGAGAGCAAAGAACCTTTGGACCTGAGTATTTCTTCAACTCCTGGCAGATAAATAAGATTTGGTCACTAACTTCAGGATAGAAAATGATTCAGAAATTATGAACTGAGTACTTCTTTGGTCTTTTGCATTCATTCCATTGATATTCAATTAGAAATAATGATGTATGAAATACTTTGCTGGATGCTACTGGAAATTCATAGGTTTCTAAGAAATTATTCCAGCTGCAGGAGGAAAGACTAAAACACTGTATTCCGTAGCAGTGTAAGTGCTCACAGCAGTGTACATTAGAGTCCCTGTGAGTTCAGAAACAGGAATAACTACTTTGACTGTTCATGGAAGGCTTCAAGGTTGAAGTGGTATTTTCAGCGATGTTGAAGGATGAGCAAAAGTCTAATAGATGCCAATAGGGAAGGCAAATGAGGGAACAGAGTGGCCAAAGGCACTGAGGTAAGAAAATACTGGCATGAGTGTGCTGAAGAGAGTGAGATACAACACAATGTTAGGAATGAATTTTCTTTTTTAAAATGTTGATTTTTATATGAAAGGCAGAGTGATCTACATGGACACACACACACACACACAGGTGTCATCTTTTATTTCACCCTATTTTTTTTCTTTATAAAATTTATTTACTTATTTGGAAGTCTAGTTACAGCGAGAGAAAAAGAGACAGAGAGGAAAGAGATCTTCCATCTGCTGGTTCACTCCTCAAGCAACCGTAAAGACAGAGCTGGGGCAGGCAAAACCTAGGAGCCAGGATCTTCAGCCGGGTCTCCCACATGGATACAGGGGCCCAAGCACTGGGACTAGCTGGCCAGACTGTGGAGATCGGGGACCATCACTCTCTGGAAGAGGGTTGGGCAGCAGTGGGCAATAAGAGCCCTGTGAGGAAGGCAGGGCCTGGAAGGAAAGGATGAGAAACTGGGAAGACACATGTGTTTCCTCCCTTACAGCTGTTTCTCAGGCTGATCTGTTTGGCATAAGGAAGAAACTTGTGTAGTATCAGAGGTTCCTTGAGACAGCTGCTCATCAGCTGTTGAAATGAACTTGGCATTAAAATGGCAGAAACTCCAAGGTCTAAGAAAATGAAATGTTGCTTAAATTCTGGTTAACATAATAAAAATTTCATACCCTTGGATGAGAGGGAATTCATCCCTGATGGGAAAAGCAAGTAGGGAAAAAGCAGAAGAAAGGAAAAAGTGTGTTTGTCTATTTAGAGTAGTAGGAAATATATATATATATATATATATTTATCTATAAAGATTTTATTGACAGTCTTAGTGATTTAGTTACTAGATGTGAGTTGTTTTAGAAGCCTTTAATATTTTTTAAAAATTATTTTATTTTGTTTAAAGAATACAGCTTCATGCATTTGATATATACAGATTTGGGAACATAATGCTTCTTCCTCCTCTACCTCTTCCCAACCATGCTGCTGACTTTCTTCCTCCTCCCTATTCCTTACCCCTTCTAATTTTTTACAGAAATTATTTTTTTGTTAATTTTAATACTTATAAAATTAACCCTACATTAAGTAGAGAGTTCACTGATCATTTCATAATTAGGGATAAGTGGGTCAATGAATTGTATGGTTTGTTTGATCTTGACATTCAAACAAGAGTACCTTAAAGAAAAGGTTTAACAAGACTGCTCAAGTAATGATGCTTTCTTATAAGCTTAGAAGGGATATCAAAAGTGTTTAATGTAGTTTAAAGTATAAAAGTTAGAAAAATCAAAGCTTTAAGATGTTCTAAAGATGTAGGATTGTGCTTGGCAGGTCGGGATTTATAATAAGGAGAATAGCTCTGCTGTGTTCACATAATTTTAAAACTTTGGCAACGTCAGCACTCTGGTCCCCATTAGGACTGTGCAAAAGAACCTGTTTAGATTATCCCAAATCCATCAGCTCCACAAGAGAAACAACTTAAAGCACTTATCTTAAGTATGATGGATCAAGAATAGCTAGTTCAAAACACAAACTATTTTTAAACTCTATGTTCATTAACTAAAGTCGAGTTTAATTTTAAATAAATATTTATAACATACTCAAACTATTAAACCTATACAAAAACTAAATGGACTCATAAAACATTTATGTTGTCACCTGCGTGGAATTTCTACACAATTTCTGGGAGCTCATCTCTCCTTCTCTCACTCTCAATAGTTAAGTGCTTTAGGTTTGTTCCAGTTTTGTGAAATAGAATGAGAACCATTGAAACACTATAATTATAAATCAGAATAAAGAGAAGAAACATTTTTTCATCTAAAGGTAACCAATTGGAAAAGAAATAAAAATAACATATCACTCATGTCTTAAGGGTAACTAGTTTCATTACATACAGCTCATGCATGTTCAGCTTAAAATTTAACCCTTTTCTTAAGAAAACAATGACAATGTCCTTTCTTTCATCCAATATTTCCCTCAATCTTGCATGAAAACAAAATTTCTTTGAAAAGGCTGGGGGAATTTTCTGAGAGGTCTAATATAGAGGCTGGGAGAGGTAGGGGTCCTTATATTCCCTTAAGGTCCAAGTGTTCACCTGTGCACTTTCTTCTAAGATAAGGCATTTATATATGAGCAGCTGTGAGCATAGCAGCTCCGCCCTGACTTCCACATTGGCTATGCCTGCAATCTGCAATCATGCTGAGCCCTCCAAGCTCAGAGGCCGATTTGGTACCATCTCAACTCAGAGACCTTTCTGAATCAGCTGCTTTAACATGCTGAGGTTGCTACTTTTGCCAGTTTACCTGGCAAGGAACAGAGCAAGCTAAATGAGAGTTTGCCTGTGGGCCTGCACTTTCACTGGCCTTCTGACAATCTGATGTGCTTAGATTCCATTATGCTTTAGGGATCAAGGCCAGGCTTGTGATCTGAAAGCCCCTTCTTTGCTCCCTCTGCCTTCACTGACTCTGGTAAGGATTACATCATGTCACAGATTTGTTACAGTATCAGATACGGGAAGCATGATTCTATAGTTTCAGGAGTTGCTTGGGAACTGTATTCTAAGAAACAATGACAAGAATGTAAAGTGCATTTTATCGTGCTTTGTGTAGATGAGTAATGAGGAGTCTCCTAAATCTGTAAACCATCAGTGTAGTCTGGCCCTGATACTCTAATCCCTCAATCTGGCCCTTCCTAGATAATCTGGGCCAACTAGCTATGCTAGTTTGGCTAAAGGATTCAAAATCATTATATTTTTTATATAGAAAACCCAAAATATTGATGTTGCAAGTTTGAGTTTGTGCTTATTTAGCTTGTATTTGAGGTGTTTAAGGATGTGATATTTCACCCCTGGGATTTCAAACTCCTTTCAGTAAAAACCAAGAGAACCTTCTGAAAATTTCTGAGATTTTCCCCGCCTCTGGGTCACACTTTCAGCAGTAGCCTTGGTTGTGCAGAACTTGGGTTTAGGCTTGGGTGTGTGGAAGAGGCCGTTAGACAGAACTGTGTGGCCCTGGTACATGAAGGTAAGGGACAAACAGAGTGGTAAACACTCCACATTTTTGGATTTATCTCTTTGCTCACACTCAAATATGGTAAGTATTACAGTAGTCAAAAACTATTTTCATCAAGTGAGTCCATTTCAAGAGGTTATTCTATTTCTCGAATCAGTTTGCTTAACTGTGCCTGAACAAATAACTTATTTGATTGAACTAGTTCTTTGAGTTGCTGAAGTAAAGCATGAAAATTATACTTACTAAATCTCTCTGTCTTTATTTATTAATAATATGATCAACTCCATATATATTCAAAAGTGTCACCAAACATATTAGCTTCCTGTATGAATGTATTTATGTCAGATTTGTTTATGGACACCTAGCTCACTGTGGTGTTAGTCTCCAGGAAAAAAATGGTGTATTTGATATCTAATCACCTAACTTTTGTGTGCTCTTTGATGTACATCCAAGAGGGTCTCTCACATAGAAGTTTGTTATCTGCAAATTAAGTACCCAGCTCTACATCAAAAATGGTCTTCTATCATTTACAATATTCACAAAGAATCCAAAAATCTTTTTTCTAACTCAGGAAGGAATTAGAATCCTACATCATTATTGTTTAAAATGATTATATTACCAGTATTGAGAGAAATAGCTACCTTTTAGTGAATACTTGATACGGGTGAAGCTCTGTGCCAGGTGTTTTTCATGTATTCGAAATGAAATAGCTCCAAGAAGCTATGAGGCAAGCCTATTGAGGAGGAGGTTGATTTGGGCACAGTCTGATCATTTGCAGAGTGTGACTTGGTGAAAAAGTGAGGGAGCCAGGCTGAAATGCAGGATTGTTGTCCCTGAACACATGTCCTTAAGTATTTGCAGCATGATCCTTCCCGTTCCCAGCTCCTCTGTGGAGCAGACAACATTACCCTTGAGGTGATAACCAAGAGGCTGGGAAAAAGGGTCATCACTAATCCTGCTGCTTGGCTTGGGTCTTCTCTGGGAATTGGGTGTAAGAGATAATGAAGTGTTTCAGACGAAAGTTTAAAAAGGTCCCATGTAAGAGAAAACAGAAAGGGAAATAATGCCAGCGAAGGTTAGAAAGAAACTTTTTTTAATAATTTTTTTTTTTAATTTGACAGATAGAGTTATAGACAGAGAGAGAGAGAGACAGAGAGAAAGGTTTTCCTTCTGTTGGTTCACTCCCCAAATGACCACTATGGCCGGTGCTGCGCTGCACTGATCCGAAGCTAGGAGCCAGGTGCTTCCCCTCACCCCAGCCTCCCATGTGGGTGCAGGGCCCAAGCACTTGGGCCATCCTCCACTGCCTTCCTGGGCCACAGTAGAGAGCTGGACTGGAAGAGGAGCAGCTGGGACTAGAACTTGGTGCCCATATAGGATGCCGGCACCACAGGCGGAGGATTAACAAAGTGAGCCATGGTGCCGTGACTATATCAAGAGAACTTTGTTTCACTCTTCACATTATTTTATAGGACTATTGGTAAAAATGGAGGAGAAAAGTATTAGAACCACTTATTGAGGATAACTAATTTAAAAGGAACATAATCTATTCTCCACATAGATACCAAGCTGAGTCTTCTAAAAGGTGCATTGCCTCAAAAAAACACCTATGGCTTTTTAAACACAAATAAAGTATAATTCAAAGCCGTCCCTTGGCAAATCTGTTCCTAAGCAACTCTCTGATCTCTTTCCCTACTTCTCTTTCCATGTTCAATCCTGTGTCATCTGTGCTGGCCTTCTGCCTTCCTCAAACAAGCCAAGACTGCTTCAGGGCCTTTGCACTTGCAGTTCTTCTGCCTGGACAGCCTTTTCCCTAAGTATTCAGGCGGCCTCTCTCACTTCATTCATGTCTCTGCTCTGATCAACCGCTTCTGACAGGTCTCCTATGACCTTCCCATTTTAAATATCACTCAGCACCTCTACACACACATTCCTACATTCACATATGCACACATTCATGCACATCCACAAATACTCTCACGCGCATCCAAACATACTCTCACCTTCACACACGCACATACTCATGTACAGCCACGTGCATTCCACACACATCACACATGTGCACACTCACACTCATCCATACACGCTCTCACCCACATTCACACATGCTGTTATCCACACTCACACATGAACTCACTCTTGCCCATCCACACTCTCACCCACATTCATACATGCAAATCCATAACACTCCCATTGTGCGGGCACTCTTTATGCTCTTTCTGGCTTTATTTTTCTTAATAACCAATATTAACAGCTGATATATTGTCAGTCTCCCCGCACTGGAAAGGAATCTCTATGAGACCAGGGATTTTGTCTTTTGTGTAATGACTGCTGTATCTCTAGTGTTTAAAGCAATACATAGCACTCAATTAACAGCTTAATTAAAATTTTTAAAATAAGTGAATGAATGAATAAACTTAAGTCATTAAAATAAATCACTTCCATTCCTAAACTGCATGCGACTCAGTATACTTCAATCTCACATACTGACAAATCTGTGGAGAGAAAAATCAGAGAGGCATAAAGGCTGTACCTCCTAATATAGAACAGCTGCACAGATCCTGGGCTCTTTAAACCATGATGAACCCCATCTGTCCAGTGGCATGAAAAAGTCTCTAGTTCAGGTGAACGGCACTTGGTGAATTTGGGCTTCCCAGAAGAATCTGTAGAATAAAAAGAAAAGGCAAAGATGGAATTAGGAGGGTCCTAGTGAAACAGGTATCTACACTGTGCATGGAACACCATGACGTCTGTATCTAGGAGGTGACACCAATGTTTTCCAGAAAAGCTGTTTTCCTGCATCACAGTTGCAGAGCTTACTGCTTGCTGATGTCAGCTGTTGATTCTAAAGACAGCATTTTGCCTTTATTTCAAGCATTATTCTTTAGGGCCTGTTTAAGAAACCAGAGATAGAGATAAGGACTTGGATTCAGGTAGTTCATTTGGAAGGTGGCCCCAGGAGCAGATATGAGGGGTTGGGGGTAGTGGAAGGGAAGGGAAAACTGCTAATAATTTGTGTGATTGAACTGGTTCCTGCTCTGGCCAGTTACAGACCAACTTCACTGAGGCCTCTCTGAAACACTGTAAAATATGCCTCACCATTGTTCTAAAGAAGGTTGAGAATTTGTGACATTTATCTATCAGCTCACCAGAACTCACTGGTTGAGAGTTGCCTTGGAGACATTGACCCCCATGAACTTCTTGTACATGCACTCTGGCTGAGGGAGGGTCTTTGCCTAGGCAGGCACCTAAGTATGCAGCAATGTTCATGGTGACAACTGTCCATTGCAAAGGGCTGAGCTGACATCAAGTGGAGCCAGGAGATGCGGCACAGAGTCCACAACATCTGCCACAGAGCCATTTTCTCAGAGATTAAAAATATTTATTTATATATTCAATAGGCAGAGTAACAGAGGGAAGGGGGGATATATATATGTATGTATATATATATATATATATATATATATAGAGAGAGAGAGAGAGAGAGAGAGAGAGAGAGAATGAATCTTCCATCGGGCAGTTCAGTCTCCAAATACCTTCAACAGTTGGGGATGGGCCAGGTTGAAGACAGGAACCAAGAACTACACCTGAGTTTCCCCACGGGGTGTGGAGTGGCAGGAACCCAAAAACCTGGGCAATCAACCTCTGCTTCCCAGGAGCATTAGCAGGAAGCTCTATTTGAAGTGTGGAAGATCTGGGATTTAAACTATGTACTCTGTTATGGGATGTGGGTGTCCCAAGTGGCAGCTTAACCCATTGTGTCAGAACATCTGCCCCTTTTTGATAAAGAGTCACTTACATTTGTATTCTTGTGAGATTCAACTAGTAAATTCAGAAATGCAACTCCAACCAACCCAAGGATACATGTGTATCAATTCTAATTTGGGAGGTCGAGAATGCTAACTATATTTTAGGATACACTCTTCCAAAATTCCTCTGTACTTATGAAATCTGCAGTTACAGATGTGTAACAGGCAAGTTTGAAGCAAAACTAATTTTTATATAACAATTCTCCATGTTCTGACAATCTTGGCCATTTTGGTGGTGGTCAAGTTTATTTTTCTAATTTTTTTTTTGGCTGCTTAAAACAATGATTAGTTTTCAATCTGATTCTAAATTTAATATAAAATGATCATTCTTGGGCATTAGAGTGCTCTCAATCTTAAAGTGCCTATATGAATACTGTTAAAACATGTTTTAAAAATAAATAATATGTAATATATAAAAATTCCCGATTCCAAATACCAGAAATATATCTTGTGTCCTGAATCAAATCATGCCTCTTTTTTCCTTTGGCAACAAAATCATGAGGGATGGCAAATTATCAGTCTTTTAAAGAAATCCAGCAGTCACCTATTCATTCAGTTATTGAACATCAGTTATGTTCCAGGTCATTTTCTAGGGATAGTACAATGAGCAAAACTGCTAAAGTTCTGGTCTTATACAGTTTCCATTCTAATGGGGGCTGGTGGATATAAGGAAAAACAAGAAAAATAAGCAGGGAAGAAGAGATGATAAGGTTGGGAAATAGAGGCTTCTCCCTCTTAAACTAATATTCTTGTAAGTGTAGTGCAGAAGCTCACCCCTGGGTAAAATGTCCTTGATTATACCTGTGCCCCTGGATGGTCAGGCCACAAGCAAGCAACTCTTCAGGAAATCCTGAGTTGCAGATTTGTCTTTAGCCCTGGATCACGTGATGATGTCAGTATGAATATTTTCATAATAAAATTCCATGGTTATACTGTTGTAAAATATACTCATTCTCCTGCAAGAACTGGCAAACAAAGGTTTTGGGGCATGAATAGCATCTGCGTGGCACCAAGGACAGAGGGTCAGCCCTCTCTGCAATTAGTGTATACTAACTCCTTGAGTGTGCTGAAATACAGGAGCTTGAGTAATCTTGTACACATGGATATTATAATATCCATGTGTGTTTTGTTAGTCAATCACTTATTATACTGTAAAGAAGAGCTCCTGTTTCCTATTACCTGAAGTATGAAAAACAGTATTTTAGGTCCTTCTAGGAAATTAGCAATGATTAAAACATATTTGTTTTTTTTTTTATTTATTTTTTTTTTTATTTATTTATTTTTTTTTGACAGGCAGAGTGGACAGTGAGAGAGAGAGACAGAGAGAGAAAGGTCTTCCTTTGCCGTTGGTTCACCCTCCAATGGCCGCCGCTGCAGCCGGCGCACCGCGCTGATCCTGGCAGGAGCCAGGAGCCAGGTGCTTTTCCTGGTCTCCCATGGGGTGCAGGGCCCAAGCACCTGGGCCATCCTCCACTGCACTCCCTGGCCATAGCAGAGAGCTGGCCTGGAAGAGGGGCAACCGGGACAGAATCCGGCGCCCCAACCGGGACTAGAACCCGGTGTGCCGGCGCCGCAAGGTGGAGGATTAGCCTATTGAGCCACGGCGCCGGCTCTGATTAAAACATATTTGAACAATAACTATTTAAATGCTTGCACATTTGAAAAGAACATTTCACATTCTAACTGTTCATTTGCACAGTAGATAAGAAAATATACTAGATTAGAAATGAGAGATGTGCATTCTAACCCTAGCTGAGACACTATTTACCTTTGATCTTCCCAAGCCATTTTGGACTTAATTTCCTAAATGGACTGAAGTAGATGAGTTACAACATACTTTACAAATTCACTGGCACATATTCAACCATTAATAATATACAATATACTAAATCAGAACATAATTTTGGCATTTGATCTGAAACAATCAGAGAACACCAAATGCAAACGTTATTCACGTTCCTATACTCCCTGTGCAATAGGCTTGCCATACAATGGCAAGAATAATAAACTCAACCCCCTAAACTTGGAACAGAAAGAAAACAAAAACTTTGGTAACTGAAGAAAAAAAACTTCAAAAGAGAACTAATGGGAAACATATTTTACTTGCTTAAACTTAGTACTCTTATGCCTATTCTGTTTCCTGTTAATTCCAGATGTATAGAAAGTCCATATTATATCTTCATTTGAAATAAGAAACAGGAAATTCATGGTTGTGTGCTAATGCGATGATGTGTGTGTGTGCCTACACAAGGAATCCTGACATAGACGAAGGGCAGCAAAGCTAACTTTTTCCCTCTTTGTTTTAATGTCTATTTCCCCCTCCCTTCCCCATAACGCCCCTGAGTACCCCACATTCCAAAGTACCCTGAAATCTTGACAGTAGACTCAGAATTCATTTTCATTTCCTTTTTGGAGCTTTCATTTTGAAAATCAGAATTTCAACTTGTTGCATCTTTATTTTAGTTCTATCAGTATGCTACATCATATTACATATTATATCATATTGATTATTTTACAGATATTATCTCATTTAATACTGACAATGACTCTAGGAGGTGAGTGTTATTTCAATCCAGAAATGGGTGAAGCTGGAATTTAGATAAGTGAATTTTCCAAATTTATTTTCCTGTAGGTAGCAGAGTCTTAGCACTGGAAAAAAAGTGTTTTCTTTTTTTGTTGTTGTTGTTAGAAAATCTCTCTTGTTTTCAAAAAAATTCCCAGGAGGGAAAAATGACAAGTTCAGATGTTCTCATAATGCAACTTTTGGAAATCAGTAACCTGGCAAGTCCTAGGAGCAGCAATTCCCAATCGTGACTGCACGTTGGAAACTAGGGAGCTTCAAAAATACTTACGCTTGGGCCTATTCTCAGAGAATACAATCAAATAGTCTGGGGGTGCAGCCAGCATATTGTGAGTCTTAAATGTTCCCCAGGTGCGTGGAATATGCAGAAAACCAGGATTGCAGAGAAAGAAAGTTATAAAAGTTGGCCTTCTACTTTGTTAAATTCTGCATTCAGTCCCAGCAGAGCTCTGGCTCAAGAGTGAACGTGTGGTGTCAAGTCCTGGGAGCCTTATTCAGGATGGTGTGGACAGGACACAGATGTCATTGCCTTGGAAGAGTACAATAATACTTCCTGGTAAACATTTGGAAAACTAAGAGATACTCGAGATGTATGAGCAAAATGGTGCAACTGAATGAAAATCCTGCCTAAACTTTGGATGGACTATAAATAGCAATAAAGATAATTAATAATTGAAATAGTATTCCTACTCAATTGTTGTTTGGAAAGTTTGGAGAGAGTTTTACTAAATTCAAATTTTTAAAAGTTGATCAAGTTTGATATCATGTCCATACTTTTGACAATGCAGAGACAGTTTAAGAGGGAGCTGGGGGGTATTATTATTGTAACATCATCTTGATAGTTCTATGATTGATTTTTCATGTCAGGTTGTCTGGGAAGGTTGAAGTCAGCTTCCTTCCTTGCTAACCCAGTGGCTCTCCCCTTGGAGCAAGATGACCTTCTCAAACAGGGCTAGGACATCAAACAGCTGTTCGGTGTTAACTTGTGTTTTGACCCTCTGCTCTACGATAAGAGACACTTTTCTGTCCTCAACCCACAACAAACAGAAGGAAAACAGCAAACAAAACCACATACCAGTTCCCAAAGTCTGTATGGGGTATGGAGTTAGGGGAGATGGAAGAAAAAGAGCAGTTGAAGTGGGAAGAGAAGGTTAGGGGGAAATAAGTTTCTGGAGGAGAAAGGACAATGTCCTTTAGAGAGCTCCACATTGTGGAGTAGAAGGCACTCAGTGGCCATCTGTCAGTAAATAAGATTATTCAGTGCACCTTGTCA